AAGAAGGAAAAATTAACAAGATAACTTCCCGCGACGAATTCCCTCAGGGACAGTTTTTATCGCCATCGGTGCTAAAAGCATAGCAATCACTGTACATAAAAGCCCACCCATATCTTCTGAAACCCCAGAGGCTTCTATAAAGCTCTCTAGTGCTTTTACCAGACTTTTCAATATAGTAAGCGAAAAACCGGTTTAAAGCTTTCTAGTGCTTTTACCAAACTTTTTAATAGAGTAAGCGAAAAACCGGTTTACGAACAAAACAGCAGCATTGACACCATTGAGGGGGAATTTTAAGTCTTGTGATTGCTTCCCCTCCATTAAATTTAAACAACTATCTGCAACTCTTAACATCAAGTTCGTATGCCTTTTTCTTCTTCTTAATTTCGGATTTCACAAAGTTCCAGAAACGCTGTGCTTGTAGCAGGTGATATTTACTTCGAAGGTAGTTCTTAAACTTTCTTCAACACCAAAACAAACCCAGAATAAGTATTAAACAAAACTCGTAATTTGAAAGCCACATAAAGAACAACCAAACAATAATACTTACAAACAACAATCCCCGAAGAGAAAGCAAGATAAGAACGAAAAAGCAAGAGCCAACATAAAATAATGCAAGTTTATGCAACATGTCCGATAACAACCCTTCAAATTGTAATACACGATTTGGTAACTGAACCTAGTCAACGAGAAAAGTAAGAAGAAAAACCCGATGTCTGGGGAACAAAAAACTTCACATAACTATACCACCTCATAAGAACTATAACAAATTCGTAAATTTAGAGCATCGTTCGTAAAAGGTTTCCTAGAACATGTAAATTCAACAAAATTTCAATTTCCAGCAAGCCGGTACTATACTCAAGTAACCACAAAAGCAATCTGGGAATAGATATTAAGAATCACTAAAACTCATATAGCCTAAGAATTCTAGAAAGAAACCTAAGCTTATCATAAATCTTCCCAGGCTTTATCGGCAGAGGAAGTCAGGAGCAACAATTACAACGCCTCCCCAAGTATCAAGAACTATTTTAAATAATATTTGAAGGAGGTGTTGGTAAGAGAAGGTTGTAAAAATACTCGGGCTTCCAAAAACCTGGAGTTTTCCACCCACACCAACCTTTTGACAGAACCGGCTGGATAAGATCTTCCCCAGTATAATGAGGATCCAAAACGAGAAAAGCACAGTCACCAGTGTCTGGATTAAAATCTACGCCTAATATAGTATGAGCCAACTGTCCACCACCTAAACCACAATTAAATGAAGTTCGAGAATAAATCAGAAGATCTGGAATACGTTTAAGCGCTGATTTTTTTTTTGAGGCCAAACAGTAGAGAGTCACTTTAAATTTTATCAAGCTTAAAACCTAACCAATCATTACAGGTGTCCCGGCAGTTTCAAAATGCACAGCCAACTGTCTAACATTATCAGCAACCTCGCTTCCCGAATTGGTTGTGATGATACGGGACTCAATACCAAGCATATTATTTAAACAAAATCCAAGTTCTGTAGAACCAATCCAGTGTCTGCTACCAACAAAACTCGAACTCTTGTCGCCGCAATCGACTAAACTCTATAAAATGCTTCAGTCAAATCTATTTCCCTAGCTTTAGCAAAGTTTTATTAAATAACCTGTTGAATAATTTGATGAGTAGGAACAGGTTTTTCCGTGAAACCTTGGTAATTAAACCAAGACCATATTGTTTGCAGCGACCGATAAGCACAACCCCATCCGCAATCGTCAAAGCCTTCCTAGTACAAAAGTAAAATGAACTCGAAATACGAGTGAACCTACCAGCAAAAAAAAGCGAAAAGAACAAAAAGTCACAGCCAGTATACCTGCATATAGTGATGATAATCATAGGAGCCCTTTACTAAAGAAACATGACCCACTGGCTTATCTGCAACAGAATTAATATGAAAGCGATAAAGTTCTTGACAACTTCGAGTTCCAAATGTATTTTAACATAACTGCAGAAGGCCAGTTAATGTAAACGATTACCGACTAACTCTAAAATACTTTTGCCAGCAACTCCTCAACCTAAGTAAGTAACGCTAGTGCTGCAGTAAAAAAAAAAACAATCAAAGCTGGTAAAAAAATGACTCAGTGACCACAGTATTGCGCAAAAGATCTTACAGTTCGTAATTTTCTCATGTGGGTTTCTCAAAAATCGTGAGTCTTTGAGGGAAAACAAAGACTGAGATGGTCGTAACCTTGGCCGGTCAAGCGAAAGATTAAAGATACGGTGCAACTTCAAACGAAGATCTCCTAAAACACAACCATTACCAGACACAAAAATTTCATTCCCCCTATACCCGTTAAAAACAGAACTCACTGAGTACAGATTCGTTTGCCCCTCGTGGGTAACATACTGAAATCAGATTCTTCCCAATGACGAAAGGGTAAAAGTCAATTTCTACGAATCTCTAAAAGTTCAGGAAAGCACTTACAAAAATGATTGTTAACAGAAACAAAAATAATGCTAACAAACCACTTCACTTAAAATTAAAAAACGATTCTTGTAAAAGAAACGACGTAGTGAACCTGGAGTTATCAGTAAATTAAGAAACTAGCCTGCTTCAAAACATCCGAATGCTCAGTAGTACATCTGCCAGCCAAGTAAAGAGATCTTGACAAAGCAATCCGCATTTTTTCTGCTAATTCCTTGTCTGAACTCCTTTCAAATAAAAAGGTAAAAGCCTTTATGCAAGTTTTCAAATTCACGTAGGTTAACAATCCTAAAAGACAACCCACATAAAATACACAGCAAAAAAAAAAAAAAAAAAAAAAAAAA